ATTTAAAGTCAATTTGAATACGGCACAATTAATGCAACTGCAGGTTAACTGCTTGGGAATTGGAACTGGTGAAACAACAAGATGGATAGATGCTAGAAAGGTTAAGCTTTCTGTGAAATAAAGACTCCCACTAATCAGTCCCAACTCTGAAGAGTGCTGGGAGGATTTAATTTCTATGGCAGCATATCTATAACTGTGCTAGTATCTTATGGCAGCGTATCCATCTTTGCTAGTACCAGCAGAGCATTACGGAAATGACAGAAAAAAAATCAGGAAGGGAGCTGGAGCAAAGAGCAAGACGATGCTTTATCTAACGTGAAAGAAGCTGCTTGAGAAGCTCCTGCACTAAAATTCCCAGTCAAAGGAAAGTTATTTGTAATAAGAATTTCAACATGAGCTGATTCTGTGGGAGCAGTACTGTTACAGAAAAATAGTGAAGGAAAATGGATACCAGTAGCATACGAGTCCTCCCCAGGGGCTGGACCAAAATTTTCCCGGCCATGAGAAAGCCTGGTTAGAGGCAGTCTGGGCTGTGATAGTCTTTGAGGCTTTCACCCTCAGTAGTCCAGTCGCACCCCAGTCTACTCATGCTCTGCTCTTAAGCACAAAGAGAAGAAATGGATATTAATGTGGATATCCTTTTAAAGGCAACCGGTAATAAACCAAAGGTATTATGCACCCATAGGAGTGCGAACTTTGAACAAGGAGGAAAAATAATCCAAGATACTGCTATTAGTGGCATGAGGGGACAAATAGTGGCGAAACTAGAGAAAGGATCATGCCAAGGAGCTTACAGGCTGTCAGTAAAAGACATAAACCCCTCTGCACAATATCTCTCTACAGATAGCCATTATGCTGATAATAGAATAAAATACTGGATGCACGATAGGGAGAAAGGCGATGGCGAGCACTTAACGGGACAGCCATGAAGCAAACAGGAGGTTTATTTTACTAGCTTAGGGGGAGAGTGGGAATAAAATATATGTAAAGGATGTTAAAGTACATGGGAAGACTGAAAGCAATACTGAGAAACAATTTAGGAGCAAGTAGGTAAATTAACTCAGAGTTTGTTTACTGCAGCCCCAACCAGGAAGAGAAGATGGGATGGATACTGTGGCCAGCTGAACGAAAGCAAGTCATCTTAGACTGTCATAGTAAGTTACATAAAGGACTGCAAGGTACTCCAAAAAGAGTGCAAAGAATTCATACTTGGCCCCAAATGAAGCAAGATATAGAGGACATAAATAAAAACTGCATAAGGTGTGCAATGATGCAAAAGCGAACTAGTAGAAGAAAGCTGCCAACTCTACTGTACTGGCTAAACCAAGGACCTTGGCAAATACTGCAAAGGGATCATCCAGATAAACTGTCACACACGAAAGAAGGGTATCAGTATCTCTTTGTCACCATGAATGTCTTTCCAGGATGGGTTGAGGCTGTTCCACCTGAAAGGAATACAACTGCTGGAACTGTAAAAATGCTGTTAAAGGAAACTGTCCATAGATATGGAATATCAGCTGACGTAGGATGAGACGGAGGAGACGGCTTTAAGTGAAGTAACTGGAGCCTTAATGAGTAACCTGGGGATTAAGCAAGGACCGCATATACCCTACCACCTGCAAATCTCCAGACTGGTAGAAAGAAATGAATCAGACTATTAAAATAGACTAAAAAAAATCATAGGACAATATCCAAAGTGATGGGCTGAAAAGTTAACCTCAATATTAGTAGCTTTAAGAAGCAGTGACAGGTTAGGGACTAGTTTACAACCCTACTGTATTTTGTTTGGCTAGCCCGTTCCTTGGTGGTCCCATGTTCAAGACCCTAAAATATTATGGCAGGATAAAGAAGAAAACAAGGCTTGGGTAGAAATAGCAACATGAGAAAAATAGGTGAAATGAGAAAGGAAGAATCCGGTTCATATTGGCTTATGAAACAAAGGGGCCAAGTAACGTGTTTGAAATCAGATTAAAAGGAACAAGCCTTAGAGACAAAACGGAAGGGGACCTATTATGTTACTAATAGGATAAGTCCTCTAAGATATTAAATAGATGAGAGCAATGGTAAATACAAGTGGGTTCATGTTTCTCAGATGTCTCCCTAAGGGGCCAAATGATTCTGGAATCTATCATTAATTTGTCAAGAGAAAATGCCCCGAAGAGGAACCTGGGGCACCTGTTCAGCCTGAGCCCCCGCGCTCCCAGCACAGCCTCATCTCTCGGAAGCAAGGGGGTGCAGCCCGCGTGGCGTTCACCTCCCACGTGGGTGCAGTAGATCTGTTTATATGCTTGCATACTAACGGGGCTGGTTTACGCTTCAAGTTTTGCTTATTTTCTATTTTCGTAGGGCAACAGACCTTACTACAGCTCCTCAAACAAGGAACAGCTGACGGAGTCACAGAGCAGCAATGCGAACTCCGAGGCAAGGCGGAGGAGTTGCGGGCTCCTGCAGTTGCAAGGGTTTTTAACTCGGCTTTTCACTCCATATTAATAGCTTTGGTCTTTTTATAAATTGCATTAATCTTAGACATTTAACAAGGCAGATAATGACTGTGAAGTGCTTTGGAGAACTAGAGGCGACCACCTTCAGACCTTTACGGGTTTCAAGGCCAGACCAGAAAGCGAACACCTCCACGGGGACTCCCTGCTCGGTCCTGATCAGGAGCCTGGCGTTGCTGCAGGGTTTGCAGCATCCTTGCTGCACTCGCGGGCAGTAACCCAGGAGCAGGAGACGACCAAAGGAAAGGAGGAACAGCGACCTGCAGGCCAGTAACATGCCATTGCTATTGCTAACAAGGCCATACGCCGTGCATTAACCATACAGGCTTTATTGTTACATCTTGCCTGTTTGGAACTTTATTTTCTTTATTTTAGTCTGTTTTACTGGAGTCACCAATAAGATTTTCATGGCTAGATAGCTAATCTATGAGCTAACCCGCCTTAGTCTTGCATAGCTTGCTCCAGCTACTTAATCTAATAGCAATAACTTAAGACCTCCAATTAAAAATGGTTACAGCTCTTAAGGGAGCTTTGAGAGTTACAGCTCAAGATCTGGATCCACCCAGATTGGGAAATCATAGCTGAAGCTTTGGAAAAAGTGCTCTAAAATTACAATAACTGAATGAACTCAGTAGTTTTATTCATTTACGGGACAATCCTCCGAGGAGGAACAACTTGAGGAGAAGCAGCTAGCCCTAGTGTTGAACTGCTGATTTCAGTAATGGCCTTTTAAGCAATTTAGGAGGAATTTAGGAGGGGGGTCAAGTAAGAAAGGAAACAGAAAGGAGGGATTGAAGCAGGTGGGAGACTAAGTGCTGTCAGTAGCTAAGTAGTTAAAATTTGAGAAAACTGGGGGTTAAGCATATATATGCGAAGGTCTGAAATGGGATAAAGTGTAATGGATTGTAAACTATTATGACTGAGCCACAGTAGAAGTAACACCAGAGAGCGATGGTATATAGAAGTATTGGAGGATACTTGCACGAAATAGCCAAAACTTGACTGCTAAGCCTTGCATTTCTTCAAAGAGGGAATTATAAAAATCATATATAGTGGATAAGGATGATAAAAGTCTATACAGAAATACTATAACTGACCATGGAAACAACTATGTGTAATTCTCCCCTTTGCTGTCCCCCACAGCTGTTTAGCTGCCTCCACACATCCCAAGCCCAGCTCTGATACTGCACAGCTGCATAACCTTGGGCCAAACTTCTGAGCAAACTGCTAAGTTATGAGACAGCCTGCAAGAAGATAAGAAGGGCAGAAGCAGGGGGAGGCAAACTGAGAGCTTTGGGTCAGATCAAGCCATTAATATCTACAGTGAAAGCTGGATGAAACTGGGTTTGAGCGTCCTAACCATATGTTACCTTCCTCAGAAATGCCAGCAATAGCATTAGTCACACACCTACAGCTACATCAGGTGACAGTGATATTGGGATATCTACGAACAAGACGATGCTGTACCTGCGTAATACACTGGAAAAGTGAAAGCGTGTGAAATCCTCCCAAGGACTGGCAAACTCAGGACACCAGTGGCCCCACTCAATCTGCAATAACCAAGAAACTCAGGACACCAAGAGGCTGCCCAGGGCCACCAGCACGCAGGAACATCAATAGCTGTGACTGCTATCTGCTGTGAAGGATGGCAGCCGGGCTCTTGAGCACTCCCTGCTGTGGGAGCTTTTAAAAGAGGGCTTGAAGGGGCTGCCCACGCTCTGGTCTGGGGTGGCCAGGGCTTCTTCTGTGGTGCTTGTGCTGGGGAGGATGCAGGTAGATCAGGGCTGCTCTATGCCAGACAGGCAACTCCTGGCTTAGGTCAATTCAGAGGTTCAGGGGAGCTACGATGCTTATCACAGCCTGGGGGGTGGGGGTGCAGCTCAGGGGTTCGTGCCTAAGCATCCCCCTGTGCGAGAAGCTGAGGAGAGGCTGGGAGCTGAAGTTTCAAACCCCATAGGGTTGGTTCAGGCAGAAAAGCTTCCAGAGCAGCTCTGCATTTCCCAAACGCACGAGGCCGTAAGAGGCAGGAGATGCTGGGGACTGAGGGTCCCTCATGAAGTTGCTATAGGAGTTGCTTTGGGGCTAAAAAAGCAGATTAATTTATTTTCTCAAACTGCAAAAAATAGATTTTTATCTCTCTTTTTTTTTTTTTTTTTAAATAAAGAAGCTTTTCTCCTCTTCCTTGCACCCAGGAGCCTAGCACACAGCTCTTGACTTCAACATTGTAGCTTGGCCGTGTTTTTGGTCTGTGCTAAGCCTCTTCCAGCAGTCAATAGAAAAGCTACCCAAAATGCCAGCAGGCCTTGGGTCCGTCCCTCTGCCCTCCTCCGAGCTGGCCCTACATACAAAAGTGGAAAGCTGTTGGGGTTGCGTGGTGACAGGCAGCGGTGCAAATGTTTGGAGAAGACAGGTAGGAGTTATCAGCTGGGAACTAGGCGAGGGCAGAGCGGGCGGCTTTGGGGCTGCGAGGGAAGAGGGGAAGGAAAGAGCCCAGTTCTCGTATTAGCTGATAACATTGAGCGCGTTAATCAGCGAGTGAAGCTCATCCCTTACGCTCTCCAGGGAGTGACAGATCGTCTGAGGGCTGTCCAGGAGCTCGATGCTGTGGGTGTAGGGCTCGTATTTCACCGAGAAGGGCCGCTTGATGTGTGCCGCGTAGCTCCTGCAAGGAAAGGGTGCAGAGGGCTTGGAACAAGAGATGGGTCCTGAGCCTGCCTCCTACCCATCACCATTCACCCAGATCACAACAGGTTAATGCCTCCTTTAGGCAGAGTTTCTAGGTTAGCACAAAAGCTCTGGTTTCCCACCTTTCCAGCTCCACAGGGCTATAGCAGTAGTTGAGATCCCTCCTGTTCAGCAAGGAAGACCAGGAGTTTGACTGCGGGTTTCTGTGGGCTGAACACACGGGCTTGCACCAAACGGGAGGGTCCACTGAAATGTGGCCATCACCAGGCATCCTCTACTTCAATTTCTTTTTTTCTTTTCCAGAAATGGCAAGGAGATTTAGAAGCTAATTGCAGGGAAAGCCTGTGGCATTATAGTATTATATTCCTAAATCCTTTCTGACATTCATTTATTGACTAATCTCTGCTTGGGGAGGGGGGAACTAGCTGCAAGCCATATTAAGGATAAATTTGACAGGCAGCGGCTTAGGCCAGGGAGAGGGGATGAGAATAGCATCGCCAGAGCCATGTGGCTGAGCAACGTTGCACTATTGTACTCAAAGCCAACTGGAGTCTAGATCTCAGTGACGAGCCTGACGCCTCTCAAGGGCAAGACCTTGGTGCCACCTTTCTAAGGGAGAAGTATATGGTCAAGTGAAAACACATCAAGGGTAAGGTTTCCTCAAAGTTGCTGATGTTCACCCCCATCACTTGACAAGTTAAGTTTTTTTTTTTCTTTAGTGGCTATGTAAATATGGAGCTGGGAATCCGTATTTAGGTACTCGTGGCTACAATCTCATGCTGGAAAGGCCTGGGAAGATGAGGGGACAAACAGCACTAGCAACAGGCATGCTCCTCGCCTCTGCTGAAGCATCACCCCTTCGCTCCTGAATTGCTTAGCTTAGGGTACCCTCTTGTGGCTACCGCGGGTCTGCTCTGGCACAGGGCTCGGGGAAGCCCATCCCTTTCTCAGCGGCTCCTCCGGCTGGTACTGCATGCCCTGGGGAAGCCTAGTCCCGAATCGCCAGGGTTTGGGGAAAACACCACCAGCTCCAGACAGAGCCAAGCAGCAACATGGCCAAAGCCACATGCTGGTGCTTGCAGGGAGCTGCCACGCTTGCAGGGAAACAAAAACAAGTGCAAACAGAGGAGTTTTCTGCATACTCACATCACCCACCTCCTAAAAGATGCAGCTTATCTCAGTGCCCCCAGCTCTTCCAGGCAAGGGCCAGCTCACCTCGCTTATTAAGGCTATCAGCCGCACTGATGCCTCGTAGCACAGCTGCTAACGGTTGGAAACTTGCCCTCCAACACGGCTGTGTTCACTTGACACCTTTTTGAAGCGTACAAGTACGACATGGGTGCCTGGAAGGGCATCGGGGGTGTTGTGTGTCCACCCTAGAAAACTGGAGGAAAGTTTTCTTTCTGGGAAAAGAGGCTTTTCTTCAGGGATAACACTGATAATCGGGTCCATGGTGGCAGCTCCCAGTAATGCAAAAAATATAGATATTTTAATGTTTTCACCTCAAAGAGTAACGTCTGTGTGGTTTCTGAGCTCTTTAAAGAGCATAATTTGCAGTGCTTGTCACTGTCAAAACCCTCTACCCTAATCTTGGCTGTGAATGTGGTGTATTTTTCCTTTTTAAATGCAAGGAAATGACTCATTAGGCAACAGTTGTTTTTTTTTTTTTTAAAGCAGCCTAGTGGGTGTGAGGACAGGCTCCCCAGGTGCTTGCTTTTGAGTAGCTAGACTCCGGGTTGTATGAATGGTGCAAGTAAGGGTAATAAAAGCAGAAGTTGAAATATAGCAGTCCTCGCCACATTATTTATATGAAATACCCCACTTGCAGGAACTGCAAGGTCATGCACATTGTGTAATACTTTGTCTCATCCTATCCCTTTCCTAAGCTATGATAAAATGGTATATGCAAAGTTTTCCTCTGTCAGTCAAATGTTATAGGACTGAGGTTTCCTCCTTTGGGCAATTCTGGGTATGGCCAAGAAAATGCTCTTCTGAAGAGATGTCCATGGGTAGAGCTGCCCCTCTCCATCCTGTTTGCAATCCTATGGGATGGGGAAACCCAATTACACCGGTGGGATGCTGTCTGGGGTCTGCTAACCCATGTTAACCAGCCGAGGAAGCAAAAGTTCCTTTTTTCCCATGGATAAATCTATCCCCATCAAGCAAAACTTTTTTGTTTGTGTACAAGCTACTAACGATGCCTGGGGTTTTTTTGCTGGTTCAATGATAAATGGGTAAGTTGCCCAGCACCTGCTCAGAAAGACAAACATCTTTCTGCATCCTAAATTCAGGGAACGCAACCGTTTTGAGCAGCTCTTCACCCCTCTCCTAAAACTTTCCCCCACAGAGCAAACTTTGACATGATGCAGAAGCCCGTGTTTCAGAAGGACACGTGCTGGCAAGATGCTCCCGAGAGGGACAGCCAGTACCTGACCTGTATCACTCGGCCCTTCTGCAGCAAGGAAGCAGAGACGGTCCTGGTGGGTGGTTTGGGTCCCCAATTACTGGACCACCAGCCCTGTGTTATGTTGCTTGGCTTCCCCTGGGACCTGGAGATAGTCTGTAACTCCTTCCTATGAGCACTAGGCAGACGAGCCAGATTTGTCCCTTCTCTCGCTCCCTCAGTCTTGTCTCCAAGAGCGCCTCCCACTCCATCCCACTCCTCCACGCCCACGCCCTTGAGTCCAGCATATTTTTGGGGGGCGAATCCAAGGGACTGAAGTTGGACCCTGTAGGAACAGGAGAATCACTTTACTTTGAAAGACCTGACAACAGTTTCCAGAGTACTTCTGAGACTTTGACCTGAAAGCAGCCATGGTGTCAAGCCCTGTTTCAATATATTATAGCTTCATTTCCTTCTGTTTGGGTCTCCCTCACTGCCCAGTCCTACCTCAGTTTACTTTTGGCATCGCTGAAGCTCTCGGACACAAAATATACGGGCTGGTAGTTCTGGTCCTGGTAGGGCTGAACAGCAGCAGCATCGGGGTCGAAGTCCCGCACCTCTGGTTCATCTGACAAGGAGTGCTACGGACACAGCAGAAAAATGCCGGCATGAAATTAAGGGGATCGGAGAGCACATAGGTGATAGACAGAGGTGGAGAACAGATCGGGTAAAGTCATTGGAGCTGTGCAGAGGAAGAAGGTTTTTTGCTGTGTAGGGTCTAGAGCAGAGAGGCAAGTTAGGCTGGGACTTACTATGAGCTCTCCGTAGGAAGACAGGAGCCCGGCTCCGTAGGCTTTGACTATCCCGTTCTGTCTGCAGAGCCCAAACTCCACCGTAAACCAGTAAAGCTGTGAAAGGAGAAAGAAAAATGAATAGGGGAGACAGCAACTCATCTTCATCTCCCTGTCACTTCTGAGCCCTTGCATCGCGGCCGGGATCTGAATGAATGGGCACCTGGCACTTTGTCCCCTCTCCTTACCCCGCACCCATCGCTGCCAGAGCAAAGTGCTAAACTAAGCTGCTGCCATACCAGGACAGATGGAAACTGTCCCTGGGGTGATCCCCTGCGCGCCCGGCTGCTGCGCGGTGCTGCTGTTCGGTGCCCTTGGAGCAGGACGGGTCACCTTGCCAACGGAGAGCCAAAGGAAGCGGATGTCATTTAATCCCATCCCAAAGAGTCCCAGCAGTGCTGTCGTTAGAAATACGATGCTTGATGATACTCTGGTGCCCAAGAAAATTGGATTAATGTGCAAGCAAGCTCTGCTGTTTAACTGATCTCCGCTCTGCACAGTCATCGTGAAAGAGCAGGGCTGGGGCAGCTCGGGTCAGGGCTCTGAGCCTGCAGATCTGGGGAGACCAGGCTGGACCAGTCCCCCCGATACCGCAGAAGTGCTGCTGGAGGGGTCGGGGCCCCATCCAGCAAAGAGGAAATCTTACCGTTGCGAGTTTCTCAATTTCTTCATCAGTTGCTCCCAGAGAGGCCAGCCCAATGTCCTGGGAAGAGAAGGGAAGGGGCGAACGTCAGGACAGATCTGGTCTGAGAGCCTTACATGCGGATTGCTCTGTTTTATTGCCTTGAGCCAACAGATGTTGTTGCCCTGCGCTGCCATGCATCTGCTGGGGCTTCATCGTGCTCTGACTAAAACCACTTTGCTGCAGAGTCTGATATTTTTAATCTGTATTAGGGTTCTCGGTCCATCGCTAGGGCTCCTGGACATCATGTTTAATATAAATAAATCCTAGAACAAGAAGGGTTTAGGTGGCGAGACGGGGTCGTTTTGGGTTCTCACCTCGTGCCTTACCCTCTCGGGGGCGAGGAAGCAGACAACCACCTTACCTGAGAGAACTGGGCAAACGTCTTGTCGGCCAGCATCGGGACATGCCCCAGCAGCTCGTGACAGCAATCCCTGCCGATGCCCGGGGGGAAAGGAGGAAAACATGGTCAGCGGCGGACAGAGTTTGTCCGTTAGGGAGAAAGGTTAATTGCCGGCCAGGTGGGATATCCGGGCAGGGGAGGCCATCGGGGTCGGGCGATACTCACGGCTCGGGGGAGTGCATGGGCGAGGACGCGTGGCGGATGTACTGCGTGCACTGGAAGACGCGGAAGGCCAGGCTGGCGAGGAAGTCCCGCGCCGACAGCAAGCCGGCCACCGGCCGGAGCTGGAAGCCGGTCCTCTCTGAAACAGGGCATACCGTCTCTGCGGGGGTGCGTGGCCCACGGGCTGTGCTGCTGTCCCGTGTTCCCAGCACGGACAGCAAAAGCATCAGTGCTGGAAACTAAAGGGCTTCTGCTGTGTTAAGCCTAATCTTTTTGCTCCTACTAGGGAGCAACATCTGCTCTTTAGATGCTGGGACCATTTGATTATGGGCTTGACCTTCAGTTGCAGCCCACTGTGTTTAGCTGCAGTCCCCACCACCTGGGGTCTATCCCTGTCCTCTGTGGGCAATGCACAAGCCCCCACCAGCTCTCCTCCCAAATCTCAGCTCACACGCTCCTCCTTCGGGTTCAGGTTTCCCAGCTGTAGCTGGAAAACTGTGCTGGAGCCCTGGCAGACCCTGGGCCTGGGTCCCTCAGGCTCGTACCCACCTTTCAGGAAGCGGGAGACCTCCTCCAGCTGAGGGATGTTGTTCTCGTTGTAGCCACAGAATTTCTCCAGTAGATTGAAAGCTTCGAGGTACTCCTTGCAGGCGTGGGTGGGGTACAGGCTCTTCAGGGTGCTGTACACCTCCTTCCTTCAGGACGAGAGGTGGCAGACATTCAGTGGCTTGATGTGTCTAGTCCTCTGGTTATACGCTACCAAGGACTCACGCCTTTAGGTTTCTTGTCCTTTTGCCTTTCTCCACCACTAAGACTATGACTGTGCGCATTGACAGGGGTACGCAAACACACAGACACCCATCCAAATGAGCCTGCAAAGTCAGCAGTTGTATCTGCACAGGCCTACTTCTGACCTTGAAGGATAGAAGATTGTATAAAAGGTATTAACTGGAATTAAAATATTCCCTGTAGGTTAGCTCCTGAAGTTCCGCTATGAAGGCAGTCAATATAACCAGGAGATGACCTTGTTTAGGAGCCTGTGTACTCAGCTCGTATGAACTGGCCTTGTTTTTAGAGACACTCCTGGAGCGACACTCCTGGAAATAATCATGCTCAAAGGAAGCATTTTCCTAGTGAGGCCAGCGAGGTACCATGCAGATATTCACCACAGGCCTCAAACTTCTTTATGCAGCTATGATAACTGCCCTTTGTTTGGAGGCTGCTACTAAGCCAGGTCCCCTTAGAGAAGTGGGGCTCCAAATTATCTACCTCGCTCTCTGGGGAGGCTCCTCTGGAGGAAACTCCTGGGGGCTGCGGTGTGAAAGTGCTCTTGGTGCAACCCCAAGAGAAGAGGAGACAGAGCATCACTGTTTTGGACGTAGCTTACTCTCCTGAATGCAGTCCTTACCATAAAACGCCGTGCAATGACTTACTGATTTTTATAACAAGCCATTAAGTAGGATGCTTGCACTCCTGACACATTTTTCAAGAGGTCACGTCCTAACCGTCTAGGTTTTGATTCCCAGCTTCTAGTGGTGAAGCCAATAAAGGTCACAGATTAAATTAGCGCTCACCAGGTAGCGATCTCCTCCGCCGTGTACTCGACATGAGGGATCGGGTCCCCGCTGCAAGGCAAACGCACCGTTACTGACAGCAGCAGAGCACAAGCCAGGCTTCTCTTCCCTTTGAGAAGGAGGCACTCTGGAGAAGCTCTGCATGATGTTGATCAATCTTCTTTAAACCACACAAGGGGGTGACAGGAAAGACAAAGCCTTAGTACTGGGTCATTTGTACAGGTGCAACAAATACATAGACACAGAGAAAAGCATTAGTCTAGACAGAGGTTATACATGAACAAGGGATGAGCAAAAGCTTAGCAGGCATAATGTTTTCCAGGGAAAAAAAAAAAGGTTTTCACTGGAAAAAATTGAAACTTTGTGTGAAAATAAATTAATTTCATGTGCTTGAACTTCGGGGGGCTGATGGCTCCAAGAACGAATCAGTGACTGGGAAATAAAAGCAGCTAATAAGGAAAACTAAAGGCATTTGAGCTGCAGAAAAATATATTGTCAGTAAGATTAAGGACGGCAAGAAAAGAAAATCTTAACATTGATATAAGTGGGAAGTAAAGAAGATTGACACTTTTGCCTTTTCTGCATCATAATTGTATTTCCTAAATCCTTCTGTTCCGTATTTGAACAAATGAGATATTCAAGTATTACAGTGATAAAGCATAGTTCCTTCTCCATTAACAGCCTGAAGGGATGCTACACAGCAGCTCATAAATGCTAACCTGCAGATGAGATGTGAGAGAAGACATCTTAAATGGGTGCGTCATCTTAGGACAGTATTTCTTCCTGTGTCCCTCAGGACTCTCTTGCTGGCACAGTGACTTTCTGTGCATTTAGTATTAGTACGGGATAAAAACATCAATGTCTATATTCTGGGCTTCAAATCTGCAGAGTACATGAAACCTAACAGAGCAGAAAGCCATGCTGGGATCACACCGGTTGCAGGGGTAGCTCAAGAAGGTGACCCATATAATTTCCATAGCCTGTTTTCAGCACAGCTCGCTACAGAAATCTACATTTAAAGTCCTGCTCGGGGAGGTAGACGCTACGGTGGAAGGCAGTGTTACTGAATAGGATCTAGGGAACATTTTACAAACCCAACTGAATATTAGAGCTCTGTCTGATGTTGTAGTGAAGAGGCTGAGTGCTATCACCGCATATATCAGAACAGGAGCATTAAATAGGAGTACAAGAGATAGTCTTAAATCAATATAAGACAATGATGAGACCATTACTGGAATCTATTTAATTTATCAGAGAGAGTTAGGAGGTGAACCATTTAGTCTATAAATACCCTCATAGCAAAAAAAATCTGATAGCAGAATTCAATCTAGCAGATGAAAGGCATGTATGATCCTCTGGGTGAAAGCTAAAGCTACCGAAGTTCAGTTTAGAAATAAAACCCACATTTTTTCACAGCCAGGATAATGAACCATTGGAACAAGATTTCTGGGCACGTGGTAGCTTTTTCAGTACTTGAAACACTGAAGTCGAAACGAGATGTCATTCTAAAAGAGATGCTACATTTCAAAATGAAGTTTGAGGCCTGATGGAATTATACGTGGCTTTTGTTATGCAGGAGGTTTATTCTGGCTTTATCAATGTATGAATTAACGACCACAGATATTTTTTAATTAAGAAGAGACTGGAATACATAGAAAGAAGAAGGACACAAAAAGAGCTGGCAAGGCTGAATGCGGAGACAAAACATAGAAGAAGAGAAGCCTCATGCAGTTAGCACAATGACTTCCCAACAGGTTGCATTGACATGGCATTATCCCTGCATGGATGTTAGGAAAGAGACTTACTGCTTATAGTGAAAAGCAATTTCTGCTATCGATTTCCTTCTCTGGCGATACACTTGGTCAGAATAGCCCTGTGATGACAAATAGGAACAGAGACAGAATTTTTAATCAGTTACTAAAATTTCTCACCCAAAAAAAGTTCGTCACTGGCTGGAGAAACTTCTCTCATGGTGGTGATTGCACTACAGTTCCCTGATCAGCTGCACTAATAGGTGTTCTCCAGCTCCCTGCTTCTGAGGGAAGGCTCAGGACTCCAACGTGAGGGTGTGCCCACACAGACTAACTCACCGGGTGATCCAGATCCAAGTCAGGGTCAAACTTGGTGACCAAATGGTGGCACTTGTCCAATTCACAGATTTTTCTGGGAAACCAATGAACTGTGAGAGAGAAAGAGAAAAACTGGCTGTGGAAGGGAAGATGGAGCACCCCCTGCCGAGAAGGAGTTGTGAGGTTGAAGAAGATACATCTGACCTGAGGTACCAAATGCACACACTCAACAAACAGCACATGACACAGCTGTGCCTTCCGGGCAGTAGTCCCACACTCTTAATGCTCTTGTCCTACAGTCAGGTCTAATGCCATGATCTGCATCTCATGACTTCCCTGCCCATCTCTCAGCAGAGTATTTTGTGACAAAAGTAAACAAGAAGATGAAAATTGGATTTTACTTAAAGATTCTAGACTTCACATTAAAAACAAATCCAGAGGTCCAACTGGTTGTAGAGCGACCACTGCAGATCTCTAGGGATATTTTATAGTAAGAATCACCCTGTTTTCAGAATAGGATGGCATGGGGAGCGTCTTGCAGTCCAGTGCTGGATCTATACAGAGTTCCTGACACGTAGGTAGGAAACTACTGTACACTTACAATACAAAACACTGGAGTAGGGATGGAGAGCTCTGTAGGAGAGGTGTGAACAAAGCATGAAATTTCATCTCCTATTTCTATTTTTTCAATCTGGCACCAGAAGAATGGGCTATGGACTCTGGAGTCTGTTGAGAAATGGGCAAGGAGGGAAGTGGCTTTCAGGATTCAGTGTTCCAGAGGTAGACTATTCTGTTTTGCTCAAATTCAGCATACAGTAGCCCTTCCCCTTTTCTGGGAATAACAAAGTCTCCACCCTGTTTCTACAGCTCAGCCTCTCCGCAAAAATGAAACAGTTTGTAAGTTCCTTACATTTGTCTTCCTTAGTGGTCCTCACGTCTTCTGCTACCCTCTTGATGGAGCTAATGAAAGTATTGAGGTCAGAGCTGTGGACTTCACAGCGCACAAAGTACTCCAGTTCAGCGGTCCCTTCACGGGGCTTTCGGCTAAGCCTGGTCTCCAGGTGGTGAATTTTAGCTTCAAATGTCTTTTGGGACATGGAAAAGGAGAACAAAAGCATTAAACAACACTTGAAACACCTGCTGGTACTTCCCAAAGATGTCCATATGGATACATTTGGGAGGGACTCCCCCTTGTCTTTTTTTTCTGCTTTTTTCCCCCTACTGGGATAAACACAGTTATCCGGTAATTCCACAGTTTTTCCTTCGGGACAGATAACCGGTGGGGCTGGTCAATAACTATCCCCAGAAGACTTCCAGAGTGGCCAAGAAGATGGTGTCAAGAGGGGAAACGGATGTGGCAAAATGCCACCTCCTATGACCCCCTTTCCTTTCACCGCCCACCTCAGCGAAGGTGCTGTTTTACTGGCTGGGGGGAAGGGGTTGGCCGTGACGTGGCGGGGGCGGGCGCTGG